CCCACTGATCTTCCATACCTCCAACACAGATAGTCCCAGAGTATATTCTGTTGGCACAACGACCTGGCCTCCATCTTTGTTCCACCCTTAAGATTAGAAGATGTCATTTGGCCCATGGAATTGTGACTCAGGTACACTCAATGGACCCCCAGTGATACCTTACAAGGGATGTCTTATTTAAATACTGAATTTAATGAGACAAGTGGTTCTTTAAAACTGCAAAGCCTTGGGCGTCCTAACCAGTGCCCAGGGTAGAAAATGTGCTATTAATGAAACTGAATGTTGTATATATATTCCTGATAACTCTGATAATGTTTCCTCTGCGATTCAAGATCTCTACCAACTGGTACAGGCTGTCTGAACCTGAGACCCCCTGGGGAGCCTTCCTATGGAAGTCTTTATTAATTCCTTCTGGTGTAAATGATTATTAATTGTTGGAGTGATTTTTTTAATTTAAAAAATTATTACGTTTGTAGTACATAACGCTTACATTCCTTGTGTGGAGTTGGTGTGTGTACATAACACATCTTCATCCTCTTCATACCTTCCCATTTGAAAAAGATCAATCTCCCTGCTTCCCATTATCGAGCTTTTATTTTGTTCTTTATCTATAATTTGCGTTTCTCATGTAAGAGAAACCATGCAATATTTAACCTTGTGTGTCTGATTCATTTCACTTAACATTGTGGTCTCATTTCATCTGTCGTCCTGCAAATGACTCTAGTTTATGGAAGGTATTTACTCACTGTGAGTAAATATCACATTTTCTTGACCCATTCATGTGTTCATAGACATAGAGGCCCTAAGATCTAGCTATCATTAATTGTGCTTCTAGAAACATGGGTATGGATATATGGGGTGATTGTTCTTTTAGTCCAGTTTATGGGATTTACTTGCCTGTCACGCTTTGTCTCTTCCAGATTGTCTCTTCCATTTACCAATTATAATACAGGTGGAGATACCTGACATCTGTCAGGGGCCATCAGACCCTCTGTCGAGTAGCCCTGACTACTGTAATATTACTATGGCTCCTCTCCGCAGGAGGGAGTTAGAGTGGTCATCACCTCTTTTCATTAGGGCTACCTCTTCAGAGTGGGGGACTGTAGAAAGGCAAGGTAGAAAGCAGAGGAGTACAATAAACAAGATAACATGACATATTTCTGTTTAAAGATTGTGTTTGTTCTTTCAATAACTAATTTAGATAAATCAGAGGTCAAGGTGCCCACACACATATAACTGCTACATGCCTCAGCCCCTTATGGGCTCCATTAAAGATGAAATAGTTTTGGTTTATATAGGTTAACTTTAGCCTGACTTAGCATAGCCTGACGGTTGGCTATTTTTAGTACAAAACAGCCCATGCTGGAACCCTTTTCGGGTCTCCTACTGATTCCTGAGAGCTGTTCTCTTCCTATATTATTATAAACATGCTTCCTGTCTACATCTTCTTGGTCCCTGATTTCATTGTTTGACTTTATGAGACACCAACTCCTTTGAACCATAACACTGTTATGTGATTTTCCTTATTTAAAAAAAGGTAGTTGTCCTGGTTTTAATGTAGTCAGGCATGATTGTTACCTTAATAAGCTCTAAAATTAACTAAATTGTGTATTGCTAAATTGTTATATTGTACATTGTTTACAATCATAAAACTGGCAAAATCCATGTCCCTTTTGTTAGATATGATGCAGTATTGTTAAAAATGTATGGTCCTTCCAGAGATTGATCCCTGGTATCAAAAAAAAAAAAGTATGATCTCAGTAAATAATGTGCAAAAATGTTTTCAGTTCTGTATTAGTACCTAAGAAATCCTAAAGATGTAAACTAAATGTCTTGGTCTTGGAAATAGTAAATTGTGTGCCTTGTCTCAAATAGTAATTCACATTAGTTTACAAAAGAAGGAAACTGTAAAGTATTTCTCTATATACCTTTCCAGCAGAACTAAGCTTGCTTCACAGAAACATTGGCTTTCTTGTTTGTTTGTTTGTTTGAGACAGGGTCTCACTATATAGTTGAGACTGACCTGGAACTCACTATGTAGCCCAGGCTGTCTCGAACTCAGTGATCCTCCTGCCTCAGCCTCCCGAGTTCTGGGATTACAGGTGTGCGCCACCACACCCAGCTAATATTGGCTTTCTTTAACTTAGTCACTATGTTTCTTAGTTCAGGTCTACTATATGGACTGGATTTACCTTGCTCTTATTGGCTTCTTTTATGTTCGCCTGCAAGCTTTGTAACTATTTGTCAAAGTTCTGTTTTAGGGTGCTGACTACAAAATATGCAGGAATAGGTTTGACAGAGGACTGCAGATAAATTCACCCTAAGGACCACTCTTTCTAAAACTCTGATATTGCTCAAATTTGGCAGCAAGGGCTATGATGATGTGGGACATGTTTTAATTGACCATCACAGAGGATGTCTCTGCTTGTAGGGATAAGGATGCAAATGGTTAATTGGCAATACTTTCAGAAAAGAAGAAAATGCAATAGGCTGGGGATTTAGCTCAGTGGTTCTGCTGCCTGCCTTGTAAGTGCAAGGTCCCGAGTTTGATCCCCAGTACAAAAAAAAAAAAAAAGGAAGAAAATGCATTTGGAGATAAGGGGGAAGTTACATCAAAGAGTCACCTATGTGTTGACCATACCAAAATAAGTAGAGCTGCATGTTATAAAAGAGGGTTCAAATGCATGATTGCTTAAAAGCAAATATCCCTTCTAGCAGGTATGATGTTAGACAGCTTTTGACTAGCTTTCTTTTGTATGTGATACCACAGACTTTAGTGACACTTTGTCAGGCTCAAGCATGACTTTTCTCGCTGTGGTGGAGTTTGTGTGCCAGTCCAACATGACACAGCCAACCACATGATGTAGCACCTCAGGACCCTCAAGATTATTACAGCAAGAGAACTGTAACTGTCACTCCAAATGGAACTTTGAAAGTTAAAAATTTTTCTTTTATAGATAAAACAATTTCTCCAAACTTCCTCCTGCAAGCATATAACCAACACCCCTCCTTTCAACTCTGGAAAGAAGTAACATGCAGATGCCAGCCCCAGGAGGCTGGAGTCCAGTTTTCTTCCCAAAACAAAGAGGAGGATGAACTGATAAAGATGGCTAAAGCAAGTATGAAGATCTGCATTCTTTCTCTGTGCTCAGCTTTTCTTCTGTTCTTCTCCATAAGAGACCATGTACCTAGTGAGACGGAGATGTGAGGCAGATAGGCCTCTCTGTATCTTCAATGCTGGCTTTGAATGAATCATTTATTCTTTTTACCAATATATATGGCCTCGTTTGATTTGGCCCTTGGAAAGCAAAAGAATGTATGAGTGTATGAACTTAAGAGGTCAGTAACATTTGGACCCTAGGACTTACCCGCTTCCCATTTCTCTGGCTTTTGGCTAGGACTGAGTCAGACCAGCAGCTCCCTTGGTGCTCAGGCCTCATACTACCATGATGCCAGTCTCCATCTTACAGAGGGACATCTTGGGATGTCCAGCCTTCCTATAGCCAGGAGCCAATCGCTCTAACAGACCTTCTCATGTCCATATCTGTACATCTTATTGGCCCTATCTTTCTGGAGAACCTAGTACTTTCTGGATAATACTAGTACTGACAGTGTTTCTTTCATGGAATGGAATCAGAGGGTTTTGGAGGGAGCCCATTCCTTTCTACATCTGCAATGATTTTTTCTTTAGTAATGGCAATTAAAAAAATAATTCAAAAGAAAAACCTGAAACACCTTTTCTGTTTTAACTTTTTTATAGATGAGGAATTATGTTAAGTAAGCTGAAGCAATTTCCAGCTGATAGTGAGTGTACTGGAATGTCCACTACCTCCTGTGCTCTTGGAATCATTGCCTTCAAACCTCCTTGCCCCAGTCCACCCTTCTTAGTGGAGGTGCTTGCTGGGGGAGCTTGTCTGTGGCCCTGCTAGCTGAGTGTGTTTTAAAACAGCAGGTGCCCTGGAGCACTCTGGGGGGCTGACACTCGCAGGAGGTAGATCCCAGGGAGGTGCTCCCTGACAGTGCTGGTGTGCAGCGAGTATGAGGAGCCCTGGTATGGTGCACAAGGCCTGCACTCAGTGGGCTCCACCAGCCTGGGGTGCTGATCTCACACACACTGCTTTGTCTAAAGAGCAAAGGAGTCTTACTCTCCCAGCCCCAAGAGCACTGTCCCGGAATTTCCAGAAAGCTCCCTGAATTTGAACAAATGATTTATTCAAAGCCAGCGTTGTAGACACAGAGAATCCTATCTGCCTCACATCTCCATCTCCCCAGGTACACGGTCGCTTACGGCGAAAAACAGAGGAAAAGCTGAGTGCAGAGGAAGCATGCAGACCTTCACCTGGCTTTAGGGCAGTCCGATCCCTGAGAGGCTGCCCCGAGAGCACCAGCACCACCCACATGCTGCCTTGTCCCAGAGGCCAGCCTTGACCCTGGGGACGCAACATTTCATTGTGCTACACGCTTCAGAAGCACCAGCAGCTCCTGTTTCACACTTACCTCAAAATAAGTTCAATGGGATCAGATTAAAGAGAAAGTTAAAAACCATTAAAGCACTAGAGAAACTTCCTTTAAAAAAAAAGGTCTACTGGAGAAGGATGAAGATGGACAAAGGCTACGAAGAAGCAGTTAATAGGAAAGGAAATTTAAATGGCTTGAGAGACATAAAATAGAAGCACGAAATAAAGTGATAATGGCATACCAATTCCAGCTTGTTGGTTTTGCAAATTCTAAGAAGTTGGTTGCTTCCTCTAAGGAAGGGGGGGGGCACCCTGGAGGGCGACTGAGGAATTCAATTTGACCTTCCTACTTTACCTCTCCCCTCGCCTAGGAAAATTCCCCTTAAAGTCAGTCTTCCACTCTGACATAAAAAAGAAATCCAGCACTTCGTATCACTGGGCTGTCTGCTAGTACCAATTTCATCCTAACTTGGAGCCAACCGGGCTTTCCTTCTCTTACCTTAGGAGGTAAATAAAGGGTTGGTCCATTCACAGCCCACTCACCTCACGCCCAGGATCGTCCCTGAGCGAGGACGCTGTGCTCAGCCCGCGGCCACACTGGCTGGTTCTGCTGTCTTCCTTCTGGTTACCCAGATTTAGGGTCTGCAGAGAAAGCAGGAGGCTTGTCCGGGCCTTGGGAGTCTTAGGATTTCCAGGGCTCTCCAAACAGCTGTCCACTCCACTGTAGCTTCCTAGAGAAATCATGGAGATGGCGCTGGTCCTGCCAGGGTAGCGGAGACTGGCCAGCTGAGCTCCAGGCCTGGGACTGTGAGGCTTAGGGCTCAAGGGTCTGCAGGGTATACCTTGGTGTCCACAGACCGGGCAACAGGCAGAGGTGCAGGGAAGGGTGCAGCTGATGCCAGCTTGCTGGTCTCCGAGGCTGGAGGGGGCCTGCAGCCAGCACTGATCAGGGAAGGTACCAGAAGGGAAGGACCCACCTCCCTCCTGGGGAGCTGTGCATTTGATGGTTGGTTCGCTTTTCCTCCTGGGTTCCGGAGAGACTCGACTCCCTGATGACAAAGGTGCAGCGGAGGGCGGGGGCGTCCAGTGATGTCCACATACACAGCTCTCCTTGTCCTCAGCACTTTCCTCACAGCAGCTGCTGGCCACTGGGGGGCCGGGGCCGAAGGGACTCACTAAAGAAGGCCTGCCTAGGCCTTCCGCATTTTTACTTTTCAGAAAAGCACGCCAGGAGCTGTGGCGGGGCCTGCTCTTCTCCTTTTCGCCCTTGAGGGAGTCCGAAGAGCGTTCAGCAGCGTTCTCTTTTTCTACAACCTTCGACTCAAAAAGATTAAAAAAGGTCTTCTGGGCTGAGGCCAATCTTGCCCTGAGCTTTCTCTCGGTTACTTTAAGTCTCTTTGCGTTACAGCTTTCTGAGGAAGGTCTTGTGCCGCCGAGGTCTCCTGGTGTCCCCTCATGCCAGCCTTCTACTGGCCCCGAGGTGCCTTCGTCTGCCCGCTGCGGCGCCGTCCCGGGAGAAGCGCTCCTTTGCCCGTGGGGCGAAGGCGACTCGTCCCAGCCTTCGGCAGCCACGGGACTCTCTGCGTGGAGCTCTTCCGGCGCTGGCGAACCCGAGGTGCGGCCCCCTGCGGACAGGCCCGGGCTCCCAGCCGCCAAGAGCTTGCCCTTCCTCAAAGAGGTCGCCTTGAAGAACGCCAGGCGCTTCCCGGACTCCTGCGCGCCCTTGCGGAGCCGGTGGGGCGGTGTTGGCGTCGGAAGCGCGCAGGCGCCAGGGTCCTGCTCCTCCAGCGCCCCCCGGATCTCAGGAGCTCCTGGCTCGAGCTCCAGGCTCTCCGCAGAGGGCGGAGCCTCGGCCTGCTGTGTGCCCTCTGTGTGCACCGGGATTTCCTCAGGTATCCTCTCTTTCTGGGGCGTCTCCTCGGAAGCGTTTCTGGGGACCACAGCTCCCCTGAGCTCTGCGCTTTGGACCACCAGCTGAAGAGCTCTGTCACTCTCTCCCTGTGTAGGCGCTGAAGACAGCTCACAAATCGATGTTTTCCAGGCTCTGGGAGACTCACAGGGGCCCATGCCAGTACTTCTGGGTGACACTGGTCTTTCCCATGGGAAGCCGCTAGACCGTGATTCTAGGAGTGCACGAGCTTTCCTCCTGGTGGCCTGTGGAACTTTCTGTTCCACAGCTACAATGATGAACGTGCACTTGCCCCTCCAGGCCTTGCCTGCATTGGACTCCAGCTGCCCACCAGTGCTTAAGGGCCCGGTGCCATCCCCAGACCAGGTTTCACACGCCTCCTCCCCAGGGCCACAGGGAGACATTATGGCTGCCGGGGATTCAGAAAGACCCTGCAGGGCATTTCTCCTACACTTAATGTCTAGTAGCATTGCCCCTTCAGCTTTCTTTGAAGTGTCCGTGGCTGGGGGTTTTGGGGTCGTCTCTGGGGCGTCTGAGCTGTCACCCACTTCCCAGCAGCCCGTCCCATCTCTGCTCCCTACCCTGACTGCACCATCACAGTGTCCTGGGAAGCTGGCCCTCCTGGGCAGCTTTCTTCTAGCAGTGGGAAGATACTTTGATGTGCAATTACTGGTTTGGTTTCCTGCCTGGACAGCAACCACCTGCAGGTGATTATGTTTGCTGCTCAAGTCAGCAGGATAGGGTGCTGGGCAAGTGCCTTGGGGTTCTTGGTATCTGCTTTCTGTGCTGTGTTCCAGCTTGCACTCGGCAGGCCTGGGCACTTCCTCTGGAGCGCCAATCCTCATCAAGTCTGAAGTCACAAATGGAGCAGCTGGGCATGACCTGGAATCCTGTCTTGACTGGTTTTCCTGCAGGAGACCTTCCAAAGGTGTGTCCTGAGAAGCCCTTTTCGAGCTATACCCACTGCGTCTGTACTGGGCCTGCAAATGAGACCTGCTTTGAGAATCACAGAGTAAGTGAAACAGCTGCGTGGGTGCAGGGGAAAGCGGGCCCTGTATTCTTGGATCCTGATCGGTTTCTATCCTTTCCCTTATTGGAGTCCCAAATCCCACACAGTTCTGCCCCACGGAACACTCCAGAGAGCCTAAGGGAAGCCCTGCTATGGAATGGGCCTTGGTCAGTGTCCTGTGTTGACAGTGGTGCCCTGGGGGTGCCCTGCAATTATCACCAATATCTCCTGGGGTACTGAGGTGATGCTTGGCATATAAGAGGCAAGCTGTGCCCAGAGAAGGCTGGCAAGTGGCACCCAAGTAGGGCTGGGCCCAGAGTGAGGCCGCGTCCGCGTCAGTGACTGGAGCACCTCCTTTCTTCGTCCCGGTCTGCAGGGAGACTGTGCAGTCCAGCCAGCCTACATGAGGTAGCTGTGGTGCCCTGGCCCTGCAGTGGGTCTGTGGCCAGCTCTGACTTAGCTCACAGCGCTGCAGGAGCAAAGGCCAGACCACAGGGGTGTCCAGATAGCTCTCAGAACTGGATTTCTGAAGAGAAGCACCAGGAAGCCCCCTGAGGTCTTGACCAGACACTTTCTGTGTGAGGTGGGGACTGCACCTGCCAGAGGAAGCCTTCGAGGAGCACCCTGATGGCACAGATTCTCGCTCCAGCCTGGTCACACAGTCCCAGATGGGTTCTTTTGCTTCATTCCCAGCAACTGCACCCAAGGCATACAAGTCATTTTTGTAAGACTCTTCCTTAATGCTGGGGGACAAATCTAATTCTTCCTCTGCAACAAGTCCAGGGTCACAGGGTGAATGCTGGTCCCGGGATGGCCTAATTGCTGGGACATCGGGCCAACTGCACCCTGCTTCTCTGTCTGTGGAAAGGCCATTTGGATGGAAGCAGGCAGCCCAAGTAGGTTCGATGGGCAGGGACCCTGTGTCAGAGGCAGTTTCAAAGAGGTCGTGTTTTGTGTCTGATTGACTTTCGCTCTGATGGGACAGGGTCTCAAAGTCATCATGGTCTATTTCCCGGCTCCATTCCGGCTCCTCTTGTTCTTCGGGGGGTGAGAGAAGTGGGTTATCTTCGATGGCACCTTCACCTGGCAGCTGGGTGGCTGTTTCTGGGATCTGAAAGGACAAGAAGGGAAAAGTCGGAGATGAGACCTGAAAACCTCAGCAGCACGGTGCCCACAATGCCTGTGTTCATCGTAAGGAAAAAGGCTCCGAAGTGTCTCCGTTCCCCATGTTCCCCTAAGAAGGGAGGTCGATACAAAGAGTACCTTTTGTTGTTCAGGTTGTTCTGGTTTTTGAGGCAGGGTCTCACTATGTAGACCAGGCTATCTTCGAATTCACTGTGTAGCCCAGGCTGGCCTCAGACTCAGGACAGTCATTCTGGCTCAGCGCCCCAAGTACTGGGATGACAAGTGTGCATCACCATGCCAGGCAGAGCTACCTTTTATGAACAGGAAAGGAGTGGTGAAGCCAACACAAACGTCTGGGGGGAGCCATATCTCATAGTTAAAACAGCCCTATTAAAAAGTCAGAAAAGTCCAAATGAGCATGAGTGTGTCCGTAGGTATAAATATATGAGTCATGGTGAAAAGCCTCTCTCTGTGGTATGTTTCCAGCAAGAAGGAACAAATTAATATATGTTTGTCTTGTTTTCTGTATGTGCTTATGCAACCAGCTGGCTTCCACTCAATCAATACTCTTGCGTTTAGGACTATTTTCTAAGTTTGGTTTTCTGGAGAAGAAAAAAAAAAAGCCCTCAAGATTTAATGAGATTGTGAACACAGTTTGAAATGAGAACGAAAAAACTAGAGAACTCAAAGTATTTGCAGAATTTCCTTCGTTGTGCATTTCTTAATCTACTCATTGAGATGTAAATTTTTGTGTTTTTACAGATCTGAGTTTTGGCAAAAGTAGATGCCTGTGTACTACCACTAAGAAAAGGACCTATTTCAATTCCCCCCAAAAATTCTTGTCCTTTCCCACCTAATCCCCACCTCCTTGTTTTCTTTTGCTCAGTGACATATTTTGTGGTATGGTCCAGATTTTTGCCTCTTCTGGAGTTTCACATGGTCGGACTCTACCACTGGGGCCTGGTCTCAGGCATGATGGCTTTAGCATGCCTTGGTACATCAAGCAACTTCAACTGTGAGGTAAGACTGCATCCCACACTCAATTGTCCAACACCCAAGCTCCCCTGGGCCAGGAGTGGGGCAGATACTCAGCCTCGCTTCTTGCCAGATCTTCACACAAATTTCATACCTTCCCAAGTATGGTTTCCGAGGACTTGTGTAGAGACTTTTGAGAGTAAAATTGCTTTTAACCTTCCTTAACTAAAAGAAGGAAAATAAGTATCTGAGCACATGCTATAGGAGGTTTATTAAGGAGCAAAGTGGAAATGCAGGGATAATAGTTTCATGCATGTTCAAAGCATAAAAGGGTTAGGAATAGGAAAGGAAATATTAAAAACTTTGGTAAAAAAGGGCTATGTGGTTGTTGAGTGGTGTCCGAAAGAAGAGAGAGGAAGCCAGGCCCCTCCTGGAGTCCATGACAAGCACTTGATTCTTTGCCTCTGTGGTGCCAGCAAGTCTGATACGTAGTTGACTCAAAGCCTAGTCGATGCCCTCCCTCCTGTGCTGGGCCCAGGACACCTGAGAATGAGCTGCAAACTAGCCTTGGTGCACACAGAAAACTGCAGCAGCAAGTTTGCATTGTCACCGGGAGGGATCCATGACCCCGAGAGTGCTCCTGCGCAGTGGCTCCTGTCTTCAAGAGTACCTTGGGCGCTCAGCCCGTCACCCTGGTCCCTACCCTCAGAACGGAGCTCTGGACTATGCTGTGGGAGCAATCCTCCCAATACTGCCAGAGCGGGTGTCACTGACAGACTCGTGTTGGCACCATGAGCACATGCTGCAGGTCCAGGGAATTCCAGAGTCCCTGCTCCCAGATGACCACCAGTGAGGTTGCGATGAACAAAACGCCAGAGTGCTCATTCCTGCTGGCCAGCTCAGCACAGCTGTGGGGAAGGGGGCTGAAGCTGAGGTCTGGCCTCGCAGGCTGGTTGGTCATACAGGGAGGTCACAGACATTACCTTCCAGGTATTCTGGCAAGAGACGTGGTGCTGGCGCAGTGAAAATGAAAGCCTTTCTTTGTTCTTTGTTCTCTCTCTTTTTTTTTTTAAAGGGGGGACTAAGATAAATCCTCCAGATTATAAAACTTATAAAATCTATGCCAGAGCAATTTCCAGGTACTCACTGAAATATACAAATATTGAAAAATAAAGAGGACTCTGAAATCCTTAATTTAATTGAATATTAGACTCTAATCTTACAAACAATGACACCATCAGCCCTCTGTAACCACAGGTTCAGCCAACCATAGATTAAAAATATTTTTAGAAAAAGTATGTCTGAACTGTACATGACCAGCCTTTTTCTTCTTATCATTGCTTTCTAAACAATACAGTGTAGCCTTAACTTACTAGAACTTATATTGTATTAGGTATTATTAGTGACTTAGAAAAGACTATGGGAGAATGTCTGTAGGTTACATGCAAGCACTACATTTTATATAAAGGATTTAAGAATACCGTCATTTTGGCGTCTGAGGGTTCCTGGACTCCTCACAGACACTGAGAAGTGATCATATTTTATTCCTAGTTTGATTCTGTTCCATAGTTTTCATCATAAATCTATATGATCTAGAAGCAAAAAGCACTCTTTTTCTGAGGTGTGGAGTTTCTGTGTGTTTTGTTTTTTTAGTAGGGATGGTAGTGGATGATCTTCAAACTCTTACTCTGTCACAGGCCAGGTCCTTCCTAATTGTTCCATTGCTGTAATGACCCGAAGCCCCAAACACTAGGATGTTCGGCTCTTCTCCCATACGAAGCAGACAGCTACGGTTCATTTTCTCATGAAGGAGCAGACTGACGACACGGGCAGAAACGGTGTGGACCAGCCAAGTTCAGCGTCCCCTCTGCCTGACCAGCATTCCCTCCCTGCCCAACTGTCGCCATGACAGCAAAACTTCTCCAGTGGAGATCAAGCCTCTTCCTCGCCAACACCGAGGACATTCTGTCTCCACACTTCATCTCCCACATCCTCTTTTTAAAATTTTTAGTATTTGAGGACATAGTATCCATTCTAACTTCAACTTCTTACATGTTAGTAGTTTTAATATGTGGTATTTTCACAATGTTGGCAATTCTGTTTTTTTCCCTGATTCCTATTATGATTTTCTCCTGGACATCTATTAGGAGTTTTAGCTGTCTTTTGTTGTTGCTGTTGCTGTTTCTGATTTCTATTTCATTGTACTGTGATTGGAGAATGTGTTCTATATGAACTGACTTTAAAATTAGCACAAGGTCCCATTTTATAAATAGTTCACAGTGTTTGAAAAGAATGTGTGTCCGGTAATAGTTCACTGCAGGGTTACATACGTGCTCACTACATCAAGCTTACTGATGATATTTAAGTCCTCAGCAATCTTACCGATTTCTCTCATGCTACTAAAAATTTTGGAATCATACTGCAGGAGAGGGTTACTCAATTTCCCCTTTAAATCTTGTCATCATTGCTGTACATATCTCGGCAGTATGTTAGTAAGTTTATAAATGAGTCTGGTATTGTTGTGTCTCCCCCGGAAGGGTAGTTTTATTAGTAATGAAAGGTTTTAGTTTATTTTCCCTAATAAAGGCTGAAGGCTATCCTCTGTTATACCAGTATGCCTATTTTCTTTTGGGTTATTTGCCCAGTCTGTTTCTCCATTACTTTTTTTTATCAATCTTTCCATTTTCATTAGGCATGTCTCCATAGCCACGTAGCCGGGTGTGCAGAATTCAGTCTTTCAGTCACTTTTACTCACAGTTTGGCCCACAGAGTTGGAGCAGTTATGACGTGCTCGGGGTTCAATCTGCAGCGCTTCAAATTTCTGAGCCCCTCCTTTTATATCCTGGGAATTTCTTTTTTTCCCTCTCTCTCCCTTTTTAGTGGGAGGACAACTCACCTAAGGCTTGTTTAAGTGGCTGCCTAAAGGACCATTATACTTTATTTCTAGGTTTATTTATTTTTGTTGCAAGGAACTTCCTGGAACCATTTGTCCAGCCTGGTTCTAGAATGAGAAGTTCCATTGTTTTGCTTCCAGTCAGTTGAAGTGCTGGATGACTCTTGCATTGAGAAACCCTAGGCTTTTACCTCCCTTCCTGAACCCTTCTCCTCCTAACTTTATGCAGCTTTATCAACGAATAACTGACATGAAATAAACCATACATACTGTAAGTGAACAGCTGAAGTTGTGACGCACTTGTGAAATCATGCCCACAATTCATACATTTCTCTCACTTCCAAGGTGACTTCAAGCTTCTTGGAAATCTTTCCCTTTTGTCCCTCTCACTGTCCCTGCATGTCCCTCTAACCCTGGAAATCTTAATCTGCTTTCTGCCATTATAAATTAATTTGCATTTTCTAGAATTTCATATAAATGGAACCATATGCATTTTTGGGGGTCTGTTCTTTTTCATTTTGTACAATTATTTCAATACTCATTTTTATTGTTGAATAAATCAGGAATCCAATTCTTTTATTGCCAACTGGTATTCCACTGTACAGCAGGACGACAGTTCATCCATTCATCTGCTGATGGACATCTGAGTTGTCTCCAGTGTTTGGATTTTCAAATAGAGCCGCAGTGAACCCTTGCGCACAAGTCTTTGTATGTTTTTGTTTCTCTTGGGTAGACGCTGAAGAGAAGAGTGATGGTATTCTGTGAGAGGAGTTTAACTTTTTATTTTTGGTACCAGGCATTGAACTCAGGACCCTGCACTTACCAGGCAGGTGTGGTGCCGCTGAGCTAAATCCCCAACCCAAGAGTTTAACTTTGTTCTTTTATTATTTTTTCTTTTTTTATTGAGGTTATTGGTACAATCTAGGTATACAATACAGTTACATTCATCATTGGGATTCTGTACCTTTACATGACAGGTCTTGATTCTCATTTTTTCCCCTTGTCCCTGCCCTCCCTTCACCCTCTCCTCCCTCCCCATTTACAAACACTTTATTTCCATTTTTTCAGTTTCTCATATTTTTTTCCTCTCCCTTATTACCTTTCCCCCACCCTTCCCACTTTCCCTACACCTTTAGCCCTTTACTTCCTATTTCACATTATTAATTATCTCATTAGGATCCTGTGTACTATTATAGTTTTTCACACCAAAGAAACTATTCGGTATTTCAGTTAAAGAAATCTCTGTATGAATATTAAAAATAGGGAATCCTAAAATAAAACTAAAAAGGAAAGTAAAAGAGAAAAGGCAATGATGTAACATCAAAATAATCCTTAATTCTGGAGATGAAAATGGCCCCTGAACATATTTAAATTGCTTCTTGCTCTTACAGTCTTATTTTATTGTTCTTATTCTTTTTTTCATTATTTAGAGAATACTTTATTAGTTTCTGTAATCAAATTCAAGTAGATATGACCTTACATATTTAGTACGATGTGTTACCCCTGTACACATGCAAAAAAATAAAAAATAAAAAAAAATAAATTAACATTTCTAGACCAATATGATTGTCCATTTCTGTACAATGCCAAGTCAACACAGTAAATTGGGATGACTTTTTCCAAAGTTGGCAGCACCGTTAAAGTTTCCCAAAATTCAATTTATATATGTGTGTGTGTGTGTGTGTGTGTGTGTGTGTGTGTGTGTATAAAGACTAATAATAGTATGTTATGCATCGATAGCAGCAACAGCTTTTCCAGGTTCTGCAGTCATCTGAACAAAATTATAGACATTCAGCACATTCCATTAAAAAAAAACAAAACAAAACAAAGAAAAGAATAATATCCAGACAACAGCAAAGTTCTGTTGCTGCTGTGGTACCTGGCACCATTTTTCCTATTAGCCTCTTAATCATAATCTGGAAAGAGAACATTCTAGAGTAATATCATTAAATGTAGCTCTGATAAAGCACGGTCCCTACTATGTATCATAAAGCAGGTACAAGATATTTTACATTCACAGAGGTATGATACAGTACCGTCCTACATCAATAATACTAGATTCAGTTTTGGTTTGAAATTTACTTTGCCTGCAAGTAAGATTGCTACCCCTGTTTTTTTCTGGGCTCCTGTCACATGGAGAATTGTTTTCTATCTTTTCACTTTCTTTTTGCAGTAGGTGTGTTTAACTTTGTAAGAAACTGCAAGTGGTTTTCCATTCCTGCACCCTGCCAGCTGTGTGAGACCAGCGCCTCCAATCGTCATGGGCACTGGTGGGAACAGTCCTGCTCACTGTAGCCCTTCTGGTGATTGTGAAGCGGTGTCTGAGTTTACATTTCCCCAGTGACAGATGATGTCAAGTAGCTTATACAGTCAAACCTCTGGGATTACGAGCAGCTTGTTCTGCGAGCGTTTGACAAGACAAGCAAACATTTCTAAGAAATTATATCTTGGTAAAGGAGCAATATCTTGCGATACCAGTAGTGTGTGACACTGAATGTCACATAGTCACAGCTCAGCCAGTGGTTTCTCCCTCCCCTGCTGTGGGATTGTGGGTGATTGTCTCCCAAAAGAGAGGTTATGTAGCAGATCTCATCTGCAGAGGAGGAGGAGGAGAAGAAGGAGAAAAAGGCAGAGGAATCCCTCCCTTCAAATAGGATTAGGGAAACGTTAAAATGTGGGGAACAGTGAAAACTCTTGTAGAAAAACATCACCTGAATAAGGCTGTAGCAGTGCGAGATGAATCTATTTACCACAATGCAATGTCACATTTCTGTGAAAACCTCAAAAGGAAACAAAAGCAAGTGTCATTGGACAGGTTCCTTTTTAAAGCTGAATGAAAAGAGAAAGATTAGCAGTGATTCAGTCAGCAGTAGTGAATGTTGTCCTATATAACAGCCCTGCTCTCTCTTGTCTCCCTCACACCAGCCTGGAGATTTTCAAAGGTAAATACAGGTTCATTTGTTAATTCTTCTTTGTATTCTGTGTTTCTTTATTATTCTGTATTACATTACAGTATCAAATAATTTTATATGAGTATTCTTGGGTTGTAGAACAAATCACCTGAATTTCCACTATTTCTTATGGCAAATTTGCTTTAATATACAAAAGCTTTGGATTACAAGCGTGTTTCCAGAACAAATTATGCTCACAAACCAAAAAGTTTTACTGTGCTTCTTCTTCATGTCTACATCTTCTTTGGTTAAGTATCTGTTCAAATCTTGTCTGTTTCATTTATTTATTTATTTATCTTTGGTTTTTTGAGGTAGGGTCTCACTATGTAGTTGAGGCTAACCTGGAACTCACTGTGCAGCTCAGGCTGGTCTCAAACTCACAGCAGTTCTCCTGCCTCAGCCTCCTGAGTGCTGGGATTACAGATGTGTGCTACCATGCCTGGCTAAATCTTGCCTATTTTAAAAACTGAGTTCTAAGAGTTTTTCCTATGCAAGAATGTAAGATAGAAGTCTTTTATCAGATATATGCTTTACAAATAGTTTCTTCCATGCTGTGCCTTGCCTTTTATCAGTGTCTTTTGAAGAGCAAAAAGTTTTTACTTTGCTGAAGTCTGATTCATTGATTTTTATAGGTCATTTTGTATGTGTCAAATTAATAAAATTCTTTCCAACCTAAGGTTAGAAGGTGACTAAGATTTTTCCTGATTTTCCTTCTAGTCTAGCATAGGCAAATTAGTATCCCCACATCCCACCAGAGATATTCATGTCCTAATTCCTGGGACGGTAAGTGCTCCCTTTTAAGGTAAGAGATTTTGCAGATGGGTTAAGGTTAAGGTCCTTGGGGAGATTATTCTGAGTTGCTTGTGTGGCCTCGGATTAGGAAAAAAAGTAGGCTTGAAAGTCAGAGTAGATGTGTCAGTGGGAAAAGAGGACTAAGTGATTCAAGGAAGAAGCCA